AAGTATTATATATATGTATAATATATATATATCAGTGCTGAGGATTAAACCCAGGGCCTTGCACATGCTAGGCAAGGCAAGTGTTCTACTACTGAAGTATATATAGTCTATACTAGTATAGACTATATATACTATATATTATTACTATTACTACTACTATATATAAGCTATATTATATATATAAACTATATATATGGTGTGTGTATATATATGTTAAATGCTACTCAAATAAAAGGTTATGATAATTCTAATGATCTGTAACAATGATAATCCTTAAAGATTTTAGCATATTGGGAAAACTATATCAGAAAAAATTTTTTTTTTCAGAAAATTGACTTTTGAGATTTTGGTTCTTGATTTAAGAATTGCAGTTACTTTGCTAAGATCTATAAATATAATCCCCAAATAGTATATACTATATATTAGTATAGTATATTATATAGTATATAGTATATACTATATTAGTATAGTATGTTATATAGTATATACTATATACTATATTAGTATAGTATATATAGTAGTATATAGTATTGCTAGTAGTATATAGTATATACTGGTATATACTATATACTATATATTATTACTGCTATTACTACTACTACTATATATAAGCTATATTATATATATAAACCATACGTTCATGGTGTATATATATATATCTTAAATGCTGCTCAAATAAAAGGTTATGATAATTCTAATGATCTGTAACAATGACAATCTTTAAAGATTTTAGCATATTGGGAAAACTGTATCAGAAAAAAAAATTTTTTTCAGAAAATTGGCATTTGAGATTTTTGGTTCTTGATTTAAGAATTGCAGTTACTTTTCTAAGATCTATAAATAGAATTCTCAAAGCAATCTGTTATCTATTAAAAAGTAAACAAGAATTGTCCTGAATATAAATTATATAATTAACACAGATTCTATTAAATGCAGAGATGTATAGAAAATAATATTTAAATCACTTTATAACACCTACCAACTTAACAGTTTTTTTTTGTTTTTTGAGACAGAGTCTTACTATGTAGTCCAGGCTGGCCTTGAACTCTGGCAATCCTCCTGCCTCAGTCTCCCTAGTGCTGGGACTTCAGGAGTGTGCTACCACACCCAGCATTAACAAACGATTAATATTTTGATCTTTTCTAGTCTTTTTTTAAACACCCAAGATCCTGTCCTGGGCCCCCAGTTTAGTTTCTTCTATTTTCTTAAAGGAAATGGTAAAGTATCAAGTTTTTCATGTTACTAAAGATGATTTGAAAATATGGTCTTAATGGCTTTATAATACCTGATTTTTTTTTTTTTTTGGTACCGGGGATCGAACTTGGGACCTTGCGCTTTCGAGGCAGGCGCCGGAACCACTGAGCTAAATCCCCGGCCCTATAATACCTCATTTTATGAATAAAAGTCCTTGTATCTGTAATTTTACATGAGTCTACATATGACACAGAGATGTAGCAAATACATAAAAATTGAAAGAATTTTCTGGTAAAGGGAAAGCTATTATTATTTGCTTCCATACGCAACTTGGAAGTGAATTTCTTTCCTAGGGAAAGTATACATACTATCAGGAAAGAATTAACTGGCTGATGTATTTCAAAATATTTTTCCAGGCAAATGAAACCAATGGGACTGGGAAATAGTGATTTTGAAAGTGCAAGACTGCTTTCTAAATACAAAAATCTAAATGTAGTTAACTTTCAGTATGAAAGAATGTTTAAGAAGGCAAACAGTTTTTTTCCTTTATCATTCCCACTTCACTGTAATTCAAAACAATGCTCTTGGCTTACCTCTGGGGGATTCATAATGGTAAAGCATTACTTTTTTCACTGAATACTGGCACAGAACATGCCCTAACCACCACAAAAGCCAAGTACACATCTACTGAATGTCAAATGATCTGTAGGAAAAGTAGCTTATGCAAAAGCAAGCAAGGGATAATCTTTTATTTGTATCCCCTCCTGGTCAGTTCTTTTTGGCTACCTCAACATCCAGATGCAGCGGTCCACAACTTTCTCATTATCTGCTTAGTCTGACGTGTCCTCCTGCAAGTGGTCATAAGCTTTGTACACTGGACAGAAATGCAAATAATCCAAAGCCAAGCTGGCAGGACACAAATAAGCCACGAGATTTATCATCAACCCAAATGTGCTAGCTTCCAGCCTCCTTCCTCCTCCCTCCAAAGTACACTTTGTGACCGATTTGTGGAAACATACAAAAAAAGCATCAATGAACTATACAGCTTTTAGGGAAGATGGCTTATAAAAGTCTTTATAAAATGCAACAATAACAAAAAAGGAAAAATGAAATATTTGACCTGTATATTGTTTCACCACTTTTCTGTTTAATCAAACTTTCTGTGAATCATTATTCAACCATTCAATGCATGCTTCCCCCAAAGAGCACGGGAAGAGGCCGGACGTGCCGCAAGTCACTTCACGATGCTTGAGGAAGTTGTTTCAGTTTGCACAACACCCTCAATGTCTGTAAGCCCAGGGCTAGAGCCACTTTCTTTCCCTCATCTGTGGCTTTTGGGGTAACCACTAACTCTTCCAAAATCTGATCAGTAGAAACCATCCCTTTCTTCACAACTGGAACCTCCCCACCTCCACCCTCCAGCCCCCTAGAAGAAGCAAGCAGAGTCAGGGCCCGGAGGCAGCCCAGGGAGTGCCGCCCAAGCCTAGTCCCCTTCCTCCAAAGCCCCGGGGAGCAGTGTCCACGTGTCTCCGGCTCCCCCCACCCCGCAGGGCACCACCTACTCTTGGCTTTGCTTAGGTGCAGGGAGTGGTCTGCGACTGACACCCGGGACACCTCCCCCGGGTACACTTGTCCACCAGCGTAGAAGTGGCACTCCTCTTCTCGGGTCCGGGGCCTCTCCTCGGTCTCCAAGCCCCGCAGAGCCCCGGTCTGGAGCAGGAACAGCAGCAGCGGCAGCAGCTTTCGGCCCCATCTCGGGGCCAGAGTCCTCTCGGCTTGTAGCTGCGGTGACGCCTCCATGACCACGAGAGCGCAGACACGTCCCTTGTAGCGCGCGCAGTTTCTCCCGCCGCTAGCGCAACACCCGCGCGAGCTAGGGCGCGGCCTCGCGAGACCCGCTCCGCCCCATTTCCCCCCCCCCGCTCCACGTGGGCTCCGGCCCCGCCTCTTTGCCCGCGGTGGGCGTCTGCGCCTGCGCCTTGGGGCGGACTTCGGCCGACTTGCCCAGTTTTGGAAAGGCGTCCTCAAACCGCCTCCAGAGCTGCAGCCGTCCTCCGGGTAGGTCGTAGACGTCCTTCCACGCCCATCTCTTTCATAAAGCCCCTACACACTATCCCCTTGAAACCAAACCAAACTGGGCGTGGTGGTGCACATTTGTAATCCCAGCACTCTAGGAGACTGGGGCTGGGGGATGGATAAATTCCTGTCTCAAAATAAAAAATAAATAAAGGACTGGAATGTAGCTCAGTGTGAAGGCCCCGAGTTCAATCTCCAGTACCCAGAACAAATCAACTGAAATTAAGCGAATATGCTGGCTCAAAGTCAAATATGGCGTATTTTCTCATGTGCAATCTAAAATGTTTTAAAGAGATGACATGAAAACAGAAGGGAAATATGAGAGAAAAGGAAGGGCATCAGAGGGGAGAAGAGAAGAGTAAGGAAGGTAATGGAGAGGTGGTCAAGTGCTGCAAAGATTCAGATGGGAAGAATGCATTGAGAATCCTAATAGACATTTTACTGTTTTTTCCCCTTTTAGTGGTGCGAACAGTGGCATGACCCTTCTCTGTAGCCGCAGCTCTTTTAAATCTAGGGGTAAGTTAAAAGCAGACAACAGGCAGTTTTGGGTGTTTTTTAAAAAAAAATCAAGACTTGTAAAGTTCCCAGAAAACTCCTCTCCCAGTACAGTGTTGTCCCATCTTGTGACAATTATCCTATTACCCACCCTAGGCCTTCTCTGCCCTCCAATGCCTAGGTGCAGCCCCGCCTTCCCCCTTAACTTTGCACCTGCGCCCTGGGTCAATTTGACGCTTCCAGTTGGGTGTGCTCCTCCTCCCACACTTTTCCCACAAAACTTTGCGCGGGACTGGCTTCCGGCCATTGAAGTGATCCATTTCCGGCCTCTATCCCTGACCACTCTTAGACCCTTTCATCCTGCAAAGCCGCCCCATTGCATGCTATTGTCCCCCAAAGCCTAATGGCTTGCATTCTAGTCCTCTAATAAACATTTATCCTTTTTAAAAATGTGTAAGCAGTGTCATAATTCCCCTCTCCATTCGTAGTCCCTTTCAGTCTGAGGGGAAAACTTAAAGAAAAAAAGTCTAATCTGAAAGGCAGTATCTCTAAGACCATTCTCTTCCCGCAGGAAAGGAACTACAGGGAAGACAGGCAGTTGGGGTGTGTGTGTGTGCGTGTGTGTGTGTGCGCGCACAATCGTGTCGCAGGTGTGTACTTTTAAAAAATCAAAACTTGTGGAGCTGAGAGTGCGGCTCAGTGGTACAGCGCGAGAACGTAAGGCTTGGTTCAGTCCCCAGCACCAAACACCATCACCACCACCACCACCACCACCAAAACAGAAACCCAGAAAAGTTCCCACAAACACCCATCTCCCAGAACATAATTGTTGCTTCTTCTGACATTGACTCCATCAGCCGCCCATGTTGACTAGGATTGGGAAGTAGGGGCTGGGAGAAGAGACACAGCACACACTGGAAAGAGGGGGCCAACAGCAGGCTTTCTGCCCCCAGGAACCCCGTGTCTTTCTGGGAATTCTTGTCATCTTTCTGAATCCTACAGAAGCCATTCTAACTGATTTTCCTCCATCAACTGTCAACTCCCTGGGGCTGAAATCAATGTCTAATTGGTCTTTGTTTCCCAAAGAACCTGGATAAGCATTTGATAGTGTAAGCGCTTGGTTTTATAAGTAATTCCTAATATTCCAAGAAGTCTTTCTCACTTTCAAGTTGTTCTCATATATTATATACTTAATCCTTGTGATAACCCTTCGAGGCAGATAGAAAATCTATCCTTTCCAAACATTGCTCACCCTGCTTCTGGCCACTACGTGCTTTGTTTTCTGCTTCCTGTCTCCTGCTTTCTGTGGGCAAAGGATTAAAGCCAGCCCCCTTGTGCTCAGGGAGGGAAAATTTGTCCTTACCCATAACATTTTCCTGCAGCTCTTCGCTTTCAGGAGGCGTATAGGTAGGAGGAGGCCTCTGACGAGGTGGCCTCTGATGAGGTGGCTGTCGCTCCCATTCTTCTCCTTCCCTGGCCTCTTGTTCCACATGGAAGAGGAGTGGGAGCCGAGGGGTTTGGGACCCCCTCAGGCCTATGCCTCTTGGTCGGCTTCGGTGATCCATGGTGACTGCTGGATAAACAGCCACCAACCTAAACTGTAGGGACTGAACTGGGCCTCTGAGATTGGCCCTGGGAAAGGAAGGGCGGGAGAGCATTATGTCTCTGCGCCTTTTTGCCCCCGGGGCTGAGCTGAGACTCCCCAGTTGGTAGCAGGGTCTGCTCACCAAGTGGGCCCCAGGGAACCCCTTGCGCACCGGGGAGAGTGACCAAGTTGGCCACCTCCCTGGCACCGACTCTGTGCCTCTCAGGCACACTGGAGCCCCTTGGCAGCTGACATTCTGAGTGGCAGTTCCTTTCAGCCAATGAAATGCGTGCAGACTTTGTGATGTCATAGTGACATCCAGCAGGGGGCTGGTGGGGGGGGCTGCCCTCTGGGCACTTGCCCTCCAGCTGGAGTCACTTACCTACCCATGTTAATAACAAAAACTGTCACACACAGAGGAGTGCTTTTAAACCTAGGGTGCACCTTGGACTCACCTGGGGAGTTAAAAAGCAGTCAAAGGCAGGGACCACAACTCCACAGGTCCTTGGGTATCACTAGTTTCACAAATGGGCAAATATGGTTAAGAATCACCACAAATGGCAGTTAAGAGCGTAGGTTTTGGGGTCAGCATTTCTAGGTTCAAATCTAAGCTTTTTTTTTTTTTGCGGTACTTGGGATCAAACTCAGGACCTTGCATTTGCAAGGCAGGCACAGTGCCACTGAGCTACATCCCCAGGCCCAAATCTAAGGTTTGATACCTCACATTGGCATTGAAGCTTTGAGAAATGTATTTAACCTTTTAGAGCCTCAGTTTCTGCTTCTGCAGATGGAAGGCGATACTTTGCTTGTGTTGTAAAACTGAAATGACAGGGTAAATGTAAAGCCTGACTTTACATAAATGTAAAACTGCTATTTTATTGTTCCTTTTCGCAAGAGAGGCTCCAGCCTCAGCCTGGGAGTCAAAAACTAGTCCAGTGATGGTGAACCTTACAGAGATGAGGGCCCAAACTGCAAGCCAAAACCCACTTATCTTTTGCAAAGTGCCAACACCGCAATTAAACCTGAATACTGAGTTTTTAGTTTAGAAAAAACCCCAGCTCATACATTAACATCATTTGTCTTAAAAGAAAAATAACATGTGTGCCACAGGTTTGCCACCACTGCTAGTCTCTATCATCCTTAACTTGCAGGGGATATAAGCCAAGCTTTCTAAAGATTTTTTGTCATTTTGTTGAAGTAACGGTGTTGCAATACTTGTCCCTGTCTCATTCTAGAAGTCTTGTACCAAGTCGTGAGGACATTCAAACAACCTTTGAGAGGCCAGTGTAGAAAGAAACGGGGGGCCTCCCCTGAACTCTCGGTACCGCTTTGCCAGCCTTGTGACTGTACCACCTTGGAAGCAGATCTTCCAGCTCCTGTTGGTTCTGGTAACTGTAGCCCTCATAGGCAATGAGACTGCAGCTCACGAAATGTCCTGGGCCAGACCCCGTCCCCAGCCATTCCTTAATTTGTGACCCACATAAACTGTGAGTTGAGTAAATAACTGTTCTACGCCCCCTAAAAGTAAAGCTTTAGTGCAGTTCCTGGCAAAAACATTATTAATCTTCCCATTCATATTAGATAATATCAGAGTCAGTTGAAAAAGTAGGAGTTCAAAGAAGTGAGGGTGGGGGGGTAGGGTGGCCAGAAAAGGCTCATAAAGTAGTAATCACAAATGGCTGTTCTGACTGTTTGAGTGTTGAAAGTAGCCCTCAGACCAACACGGACATGCTTTGCTACTTTATAATTTGTATATATGTAGGTAGGGTTTGGTAGCAGGAGGGGACAGGAGAAAGGCAAATATCAAACATAATTTTCACCTTGATTTACATTTGTTAGAGTAAATGAGAGCACTGAGTGAACGGCTTTTCTCAAGCGTATTTCATAAGCCAGGGATATGTGTTTTGCTACAATAATATTTAAAAATCTTTAAAGATAAATATCTTAAAAAAATCTTTAATTGTTTTAAAATCAAGGGTATCTGTGCTGGGCAGGTTTTGTGCATATTTACACAGGCATTGAGGGGATGTAGCAGATGTCTTCCTCACGCATGTTCCCTACTGCCTAACACTGTCATTGTTCCACTTACTCTTGTATTGAGAGTCATCTGTCACGGTGCACCTGGTCATCCTCATAGAGGTGTAGCTGCTTGAAAGGATCCTAGATTAACTCCTTAATTTCAGGAATACTTTTTAGGCATGTGCTACATGCTAGACACTGCCATTTGGAGGCAACAATAATAAAAAACCACATTCCAGCAACTGTCAAGCTAAAATCCCAGCAGTGCACACAGATATGAAGCCAGCGCTCACATACACGTAGAAATGTGAACCTATAAGTGCAATGAAGGGAATAGCAGATGACTGAGGGTCTATAGTTTAGAACGCAGGAGTTAGCCTGGGTGGGTGGGTGGGTGAGTGTTCAGGAAAGGTTTTCCTGAGGAAGTGATGTTTGAGTCCTGAAGAAGAGGTGGATGTAACAAGGTGAGGAAACATCCTGAGTAGAAGAAATTCATTTCAAGAAGGGAGATGAGCACCCTACATGTCCAGAAAGCAATAAGAAGGAAATCTTTTCCTTTTTTTTTCTTGAGAAAGAAGAATGTGCTATATAGCTCAGATTGGCCTTGACCTCACTCTTGAATTCACTATATAACCCAGCATGTCCCCAAACTTGCCACCCTCCTGCCTCAGTCTTCTGAGTGCTGGAATTACAGGTGTGCGCCACCAATAAGTGCACACCAATAAGGTGTGTGCCTGGCAATAAGGTGGAAATCTTGACATTGGCAGGGATGAAGTGAAGGTCAGGATCTGAATGAAATCTAGGGAATGTGTAACATGAATTACCCTCATAAGTTAGAAAGGAGGAAAGTTGAGCCTAGAAAGGGGAGGGAACTAAGGTAGAAATTGGCAAAGCTGGCATAGAGTTCAGATGTTCAGTGTTCAGATTCCTTGTTGCTCTACACTTATTGTAATGCTCTGTCTTTGGATTAGGGGTAGAGAGAATTTTGAGTTTCTTTTATAAAATGTGAGAGCTTGGTCTTTTTCCTTTATAGTAGATATTAAAATTAGTAATTATACATTTCTATGATTAAGTGATAAATATCCATTAAACTATGAATTCAACAATGGAAGGCACCATTGCTGTTTTGCTCACAGTATTGTCAGGAACAATTAGAGTGTCTGGCATATACTTTATTACCAATAAATAACTATTGAGAATATTCACGAGAACCTGGTTATTGACAGGAAGTAGGAGATACTCAAGGCCCAGAGCATTTGCAGGCATATGTATTGTGTGAAACCATATGTTGTGGATTGTGTCAGATGTCCCCCCAAAGCCTCATGTAGTCATAGGCGGGGCTTTTTCGGAGGTGGCTGGATCTAGAGTGTGTGATAGTGGAACTGATTCATGGTGCAATGATATGATCAAGGGTGCTTGGAGTAAGGGTGGGTAATTACTGTATCAGTCCACTGATTGGTTTGGCACCGCCCTAGTCCCCAGTAGCCTGGATACAATATAAGGGACAGAAGGAGGCTTGTCTTGTCCTTTGCTTGCTGTTTTTGCCTGCCACTCTGCCTTGGAGCCAGCCAACTGTGGACTGAAACCTCTATGAACAGTAAGCCAAATAAACTTTTCCTCCCTTAACTTGTGGGTGTCAGGTATTTTGCCTCAGCAACAAGAGAAAAGTAACTAAGACACCATACATTTGGAAGATGAGAATGGGGAAATGGATTACAACAGGACCCCATGAGTCCAAGTTTTTCCATAGGAATGTTTCCTTGTACCATTGGGGCCCCAAGCTAAGTCAGAGAACCACTGCATCCTTCATAGATATTCCTTGGGAAAATGGATGAGAAAAGGAAGAAGAAGGGAAAGAAGGAGGCTGGAGAACCCAGAAAACAGGAGAAAATCAAGAAGAATGGAGGAAAAAGGAGGATCAGGAGAGAAAACCCGCCAGTGGAGAGCCACAGAGAGGAGAGACAGCCAGTGTCCCTTCATGTTATCCTTCTATGAGCTATTAGGTGCGCAAGCACGGGCCCCACCACATGTGTAATCACCTTCAGCTGTCTCTGAGTTATAGTACCTTCCTTGTTTATGGAGGACCATCTCCAGGATGAGCTTCTTTCTCAACCTGCAAACCAGGGTCTTAAGGCTAGTGGGTTTTTCAAGCAGCTTCTTTTCTTTCATATTTAAAGGACCATCTAACAACTGCTAGAAATACAGGCTGATTTTAACTTCTTCCTAGTGAGGCTAGGAAAGCTAGGCTAGCTAGGAAATGGGATATTACATCTCCTGTCCCAGAAGATATCTGTTCATATTTGCCCAGTCTTTTCTGAGAATGGCTTTCCTCCCTTCCTCTCTTCCTCCCTCCCTCCCTTTCTCCCTTCCTTTCTCTTCCCTTCCCTTCCCTTCCCTTCCTCCCTTCCCAGGGCCTCCACACAGAGTTACTGTACATTCCCAGTCCTTTTATTTTGAGACAATTTCTTGCTAAGTCACTAAATTTTTCCAATCTGGGCTCAAACTTATGATCCTCCTACCTTAGTCTCCCAGAGTGCTAGGATTATAGGTGTGCACAATTGCTTCCAGCTTGGCTTCTTTTTTATTTAAAAAATTTTTATTAGTACGTGTTTGCAGTACATAATGATGACATTCATCTTGGGGAATCGATACATGTACATAACACATCCCAATTCTTTTTTTTTTCTTCCCCTTCTTGGTTTCTTTTTTGAGGTACTTTTTTTTTTATATTGTTGCTCCATAATTGTTGGAGAGAAGGCAAATCCTTTTCTAAAAGGAGAACTTTCTTCCAGAAGTGGTCGTGAGCAGCAGCTTGTTGTGCATTTCTTTGATGAACGTAAAGGGAGCATAAATTTTCTTCTATGTACACATGAAAAGTGCCTTAGGGATCTAGTCTTTCCATGTACAGGAGGGAATCATTGGAAGATTTGCTAATCATCTGTTTACTCTTAAATAATCAACTATCCCATTGTCACTTCCAAGCAGTTAGAAGGCAAGTGTACTATGTCATTCAAAGCCCTACACTCCTGAATACTGAGAAATTTCTGCCCACTTCAATTGGAGCTTTCCTGGGTTTTTGTCATCCTGCTAAGTGCTGAATGTATAAATGTAGTAGGATGGATATAATAACTTTTTTGCCTTTTGTGTCTTTGTCTCTTCTTTTCTTGACCACACCACTCTTAATGTGGGGAGAGAGTCACAGGTAGAGAAGAGTAT